GCAACCTGTTCCAGTGCCTCACCACCCTTCCTAACATTCAGTCTAAATCTACCTTCTTTTAGTTTAAACCCCTTACCCCTTGTCCTATCACTGCACTCTGTGATAAATAGTAATAAAAAAAAAAACCCAAAACCAAAAACATACTTGTTCATAAAAACTGCTCTACCAGTCCTTCTGCAGTATCCTTGCTTCTGAAGACTTGGGACCTTCGTTGTTATTAGTCCAATACTGGAGCTTATAATCATGTTCTGGAGTGGAGGAGAAATATATGTATAATTTGTAGATGTTTTTAGTTAAGGCAAATATTCTCTCTTTTATTTATTCATAAACTATAGGAAATACCATTTTTCAAGTGTTGTTCAGCTTATATGTTTTCTTTGCCTTTACTTGTTCTGACCGATTCCTGCCTTTTTGGCTTTTAGAAGAATATAACCAGTGATAGTTACCTATGATTTAGTGCTTGGTAGCTTGGGGATTTACTTGACATTGAATCATGGGTGGAATTGAAACTTGTTGCAGATGCGTTAGGGCTGCAGGCAAATATCTAAGCTGCTGACTGCCCTGCTGGGAGGCTGAGCTAACTCCCTAGGGTGTGGAGAACTACTGGAGGCAATGTGAGAAACTGCTGAACATAATAAACAACAGTGTGAGAAGCTGACAGAAGTTATAGATAGCACCCTATGGGATGCCTGAATTTCACAAGTAGTAAAGAGGGAATTGTGTGGGAAATGTCCAAACAGTGCCATTGCATGGAGGGGACCACTGGGGCCACTTTGGAGGGTGTGGTGTTATGAGACCAACAGTGCCTAGGTAATCATTTCAGATATACCAAATTTGGTATATAGTTGTAGTGAAACTGACACCACTAAGGGATGAAGTAATTGGAGTGGGTTGTTAATTTGGGGTATAGAAAAGGAGGTAGAAGGGTGGTGGAAAGAGAAGATCAGGTAATAGGAAGAAAGGTGAGGTATGCAACCAGGTGCTGTCTGGGGGTGCCTCTTGGGCAGCTTGTGTCTGCAGCTGGAGTCTGACAACAAATTAAACCTGTTAACCATACAATACAAGTCAAACCTATGTCAGCTGCCAGGACGACTTAGGGGAGAAGGGCTTCCTTGACTGGCAAGGGACACCTGCATGGGTGGATCAAGAATCCTGTTATCACCAACTTAGTGCCACTTCCAGGCCTGTTGTGGAGCCACTGCTCCATAACAGGATGGCTATTGAAGTCTCCTTTGTGGTGCCTCCGGTCATTCACTACCAATATTCTTAGACTGTGTGGTAGTTCTTGCTTTTGACAGTCATTGAGAACTTGTAATATTAGAGTTGTGTCTTGTCTGCTTTTATAGACTAGAAAATTGGAGTTGCATGTAAATCAGATTAATGGCTCCATTTTCTGCTTGCTTTGGGAAAATGGTAAAGTTGATATGACCTAAACCTGTGGCATAAGTATTTACAAATTTTCCTTTTAATTGCAACACTGTTCTTGATCTCAGACATCTATTATGAAGCTGACTGTTTCTGTTCTTTGGAATGCAGAGGTTTTGTTTTAACTTGAAATTCTTGGATAAAAGTCTATTTCAGGCCAAATATCAAGATCTTCTAAAGATGATCACTTAATACCATGATAACATTATTTCTCTGGTTGTGCTGTTAGAAAATACCCTTCACTTATTTATGTTTTCTTGCTTTAACAAGGTGTCACCTTGAAGTCTTTGTATTTCTTCTTCTATAGGAAAGATACAAATTTATTCATTTAAAGACAAAACTACGGAACAAACCATGTCTTTAACTCAAGAACATATTAGGAGATATATTTTTTCCACCCAATTTTTTCCTGTGTTAGTGTATTTTGACATTTTCAGGAGTTTGAAATGTTGTGGAAAAGAAAAGCTTCTATTAATGAAGCTTATTTTTGTCAAATGCAATGGTGTTTTAAAGGTTATAGATGAAAGACAGTTTCATTGGTATTATAAGAAAGTCATCCTTTTTCTTTAGACTGGATTCAAGATTTGTGATAAACACATTCACTTTGATATGATGGGCTTTTTAACATCTTGTTTCTTTAATATCTGTTGTTGTTCTCTGCTTTTCTGAGTTTTTGCTGTTTTTTGATCCTAATGCAGCATCTGGTCACTGTTTTGCTTGGATTTTGGTGATGTATCTTCACTGTTTTGAGATCTCTATGCAGCTGCTGTTGTCCTGGCTGAGCCTGCTGCTCAAATTGAATGTGTACATCCAGTGCTGTAAACTTTTTTTACTTGAACAATTGTTGGTAAGCCCATGTCTGTCTGGAAGTGACCACCCTGAAACCACTCATCTACCTATGACCATAACAATCTTTCATTTCTGCCTCCTGCCAATTTTCTTCTCTCTGTATTTTCTGTAAGAAAAAGAGATGGAAGTCTGAATTTCATCCAGCTGGAAATTTTTTTTGGCCATGATTTATTTAACTTCATATTAACGCTGTCATCTCATTTTAAGACAAAATGGATTTTGCAAGTATCATTTTTGCTAACATGTATCTAAAATAAAAATAGGGCATCTTATTGATCAGGTAATGTCATACTGCAAACTCCAGGTTACTAGAGTGTTTTGTTTGCTTTAGTTGATGCTTTTTTTGAGAAACGTTAATTGCTAATTAAGAAATTTTTTTTTGCATTAATTATTTAACATCAATATATTTTTTTAAAATCAGATTACTTCTTCTTGGAATATATGATATATTTTTAAAAAAGTCAACTGGTTTCAGTGGACTATGTTTTCGTTCCTGGTTAAAAATAGTTGTAAATGTGTCTAGAAATAATGATAACATGCTACACCTAACATGATAATTTGTATTTCTTGATATTATAAATACATACTTCTTTCAGAGTAGTAGGAGCAGGGTGGGAATAGGAGGGTGAAGATGGATGTTGCTAATAGGAGTCCTTGTCTTAACAAAAAATGAAGAGAATATGCATCTATAAAATGGTCAAAGTTAATTGTGGTATCTGTTTAGAAAGTTCTTATTCTAATTACTTTCTTCTGTACTTTGTTTTCTTGAGGTGGGTAGGTAGAAGGTTTTTGAAGTCTTTGTTGAAGCGTAGAATTTGGAAAATGTATGCATATGGTAGAGACCAAATTTGCTGGAATGTACATAGTTAATTCATAAATATACATAGTATTAATTGGAGTAAGTATATACAAAGTAAAATGTAGAATTTTGTTCTGTATTATTTAACAGGTTGATAATTTAAACTTGTGTGTTTTTAACCCATATTTTCTACTCAGAGTAAGAAGAGAAAAAGCTACAAATAGATATCTCATAAAAATACTGTTTCTTAGGGACGCTATTCCTATGGATAGTAATTATCCAGTATGTTGTTAATTCATTAGAATTGCTGTATAATTCTGATTTCATTGTCTTTATAAGAAGACATGATCATTGTTGTAAACAACTTTGTGCTGATTTGAATATGTCTGTGTATATTAATTGATAATAGTGTTCTCATGAAATACTTCTCTTTTAATAGAGGAATTACGGAAATTGAGTTGGTCTGGCATTCCCAAACGGGTTCGTCCAATTGCATGGAAGCTTCTTTCGGTAAGTTGTATTTTATTTTCCCCCTTCTTCCTTTGCATTTAGTAGTAATAGGTTTTTTCAAGCATTGCAAATAATTTTGCTTGAGTTGTAATCCATCAACGATACTTGAAAACATTGCGTCTTGTTGCTGAATTGTAATAAAAGTTCTGTTCTTTTGCTCAATTTCAAGATTAATTTGTCAAACTGAAAGGAGGGGAATGAGTAGTAGTAGTAAATCATGTCAGCTGTATATCTTTATTTTTCAGCCTGGCTTTCTATGAAAGAAAGGCTTATGTGATAACAGTGGCCTCTTTCAAGCACTTTTGATGGAACTGTGGAGACTTCAAAGACAAGTACATTCTTACAGTTCTCTTGAAAATAGGCACGCAGTAAAGGAAACGAAGCCTATCACTGTCCTACGAAAGGCTTAATTCTGACTTCGCATTAAATTAACTGCAAGAAAAGATTAACACTGTGTTGAGGAAAAGCTGTGATAGGATCTTGCAGGTTTTTTGGCCTGATTTTTCTATAGTGGTTTAAGATGAACAAATCTAAACTGCTGTGGTCAGTTACCTTGTGGCATTGGCTCTCCTGATGTCAGACCCATGAGTCAGTTCAGGGACACAAGCTAATTAAAAAGCTAATCAGTTTTTTTGTAGTGTGAGGTTTTTGTCTGGCTGAGCTCCCTGAACTTTGCTTGGTGGTCAGAGGATTTTGCAACGGCAGTAGGTTGGCTGAAATACCAAGGAACAGCACATGGAAGTGTTTCAGTTGAGCATCAGAGACAAGCTTATGGGAATCTGAATTCATTGAGTTTGGTGTTACAGAACTGGATTTTTTTAATCTTGGTGTTTGCACTATATTTAAAAAGGTTCTTCTGCAGAAATACAGTGTATTCCTCATAGGAGTATTTTTCACATCAATCTTTTCAACTATAATACTTGTGATGACAAAAGGTTGTGCATTTTAGCTGTTGTTTGCCTGCCTGTGGTTGGGAGGAGAACTTGTGAAGATGTTTGTATTAAAAAGAAGTAAAAATCTCGTGCTGTCTACTCTCCAGAGGCTGTGAAAGACACTTTATCAGCAGATCTTCATGCATTTAAGAACTGTTTAAAATTCTGAGTTATACACACAACAGTTTAACACTATTGAATTTTTCAGAGAGTAGACTTAAATAGCTTTACTTTTTATAGAATAATTCAGCAGGGAATACGAAGTATTTACTTCAGATTGAGACTGATTTCCAGTGACTGAAAGAGTCTCTCTTGCTGATGAGTTCTACTAAATTTGCAGCTTAGTTCCTTCCAATGCTAAATGCAGATATGCAGCTTCTTAATGGTGGGTATTCAAATATCCTGCTGTAATTGAAATTAAACACGCAGTGTACAATTTATTTTAGTTCTGTTTCCAAAGTTATTGTCTGAGATTTTGGTAATGAAAAGAGCATTTCTTTTTTTTCCTCTTGAAGTTTAGGATGCCTGTTTTAAAACACTCAAAAATATTATGGCTAACTCAAAATTGACTTTGAAACACAGTAAGCTAAAGCATAAGGATAGGTTAAGCTTTGAATCTGAGGACTGACACTGAGGTTTAAAGAATTGGAATTATGCAGAAGTTAACTGCAGTCACTTTCTTATTTTCAAGTAAGAGCATGGGCTTTCCCTGAGCTTCAGCTTCATTCCATAACTTGATTTTAGTTTAGCATTCCTGAGATTCCCAGTCTAGAGAAATTTCTAAATGTAGAGTTCCCTTGTTCTGTAGTTGTAACCACTCCAGTTCAGGATCCTTTCCCATTCAGTTCTTATCTTGGGCTGTCTTGCCATACCTCTGCAAAGAAACTGTCTTCAGGTTATTTTAGTTTTAGTTTAAGAATAAAGTGGATTTTTTTTTTCCCAAGTAAGAGACTTCAGAAAGTGTGGGTTGTGGGGGTGTTTTGGTGGTTTTTTCTTTTTCTGTCACTAAATACCATTATTTTGAAAGTTCTCAGCTTTTCTTGTGTAATTCTTACCATGATTTCTTATCTTCTAAGTGGTCCTCAATTAATACATTTTGGAAACCTAAAGGTGAGTCATTTAGTAATCATTACTTTTCTCTACTGTAAGGCTTGTTTCATCTTCTTTCCAAAGTGGGGAAGAAAAAGTGCTTTGAGTATTTGTGGTCATAAACTCCATGATGCTTTTTTTCTAATGGCAATTGGATTTTAAGTCACATTAGTTGTTTAAACGTGTTACCTACTGCAAATGTATCACATTACCACCTCTTACCTGGGATGTAATCTTCTGTGCTCTAAGGTGCACTGGGAGCTATTGGGGCAATAAATGTACAAAAGCAGAACTGTTTTGCTTAAAGATCAGTTGCAAAACCAAAAAAAAGACCAGAAAACCAAAGAAACCAAAGCATAGTTTAGAGCTAAATTAAGGCTGGATGTGTTTGTTTTGGAACTATTCAGAAGTCTTACTTAAAAAGCCCAAACTATGACTTTTATGGGGAAGTGAGTACTATTGGTAGTATCTGAGGCGGGTGGTGATTGTCTTGTTTATGAAATCAGCATTGAAGTTGGAATTTTTAAAATATGATTTAAAAATTGAGCAGTTGAGATATTTATTACATAGTCAGAAGGTTGATGATGTTAACGTGTTTGATGAATGCAGTTTTTCAAAGGGAAGGCATATGAAAGTCAGTATAATGCTCAGGGGCTGTGGATGTTATGCATGTCTACTGGTAACAGTATATTAAAAAACCCAACATGATTTATTTTTAAAATATAGCAAAAAGGTTAGGTAAACTGTACATAAACAGCAAGCAGAACTGTTCAGGCTTACTTCTCTTTTGAATAACAAAACTGAAGATATGGTTGCAAAAGCCTTTGGAGGAAATTAATGAATAAATGGGTTAAACTCTCCACCAATTTATTCCCTGATGATATGTTCAAGCCTTTCCAACTTTTAAAAATAAAACCTAATTTGTAAAGTGAACAGGAAACAAGACATGTCCAATTGAAAGATTACTTCAGTCTTTGAAACTGAATAATGGCAAAAAGACTTGCTGAGAAAATATTGGTATCCTTTGAACAATCACATTTGATCTCACAAATGAATTCTTTTCTAATGGAACTAAGATATCCTACAGGAAAAAAAAACAACAACTGTTGAGAATAAATGGGAGGCAGAATTCAATATTTAACTTAATACAAAACACTGGGACAGGATATTAAATGTCAGACTGAGTCTGGAGGCAAAAGTTAAGCTGGTGCAATTTAAAGTACCTGCAACCAGACGCAAGTCAGTACATCTTAAAAGGTACAGTTTTGCCAAGTACCAATTAAGGTATCTGGAATGTAATATGGTTTGTACTTATTCTGTTGTTGTTTTAAACTAAGAAATTGAAATATATGGGAATAACATTTTAAATGGTTTTAATATAGAGATATTTTTTAAAATCTATTCATGTTTTAGTGTGGTGTGTGTTTTTTATTTTTCCCTAAATGCTGAGCAAAACAGAAGCTACAGAAGTGGGATACGATGTTGGATTGTTGCAGGAGACTAATGGAACCTATATACTTACTCTTTATTGTATACTTAGCAATTTTAGCATGTTAGGTTTACCCCTTCCATTTTTGCTTATAGAGTTTAGGACTGAATAAGAAAGTTTTTTTTGTAGTTAAATGCACAGCATTTCGTTAGTTACTTGCAGTGGCTATGGCTCACTATGTGCAAATATATGCTGCATTTCCAGTATAGGATTTTTTGATGTTATGAGGATTATGTTGTTTTAAGGAAGCTTAAATCTAACGTGAATTTGATTCCTCTGTTTTACTAGTTGCCATTAGTATGGTGATAGATGTTATTGTGGAAGGAAAGTGTTTGTAATATTGGCAAGAAATATTTTAATTTGACTTCACTAACGAATAATGTGATTATTAGATATTTTTATTTTTATGTATTGTCTTGAATCTCTCTAAGCCATCTATCTGTAGAATGAATCTTATACAAAGTATATGCCATATATGTAAAATATGAACTAGCTTTCTTTTTACAGTGTTACGGTATATTGGTGTTGATCATTTGGAATTAAGCTGCTTACAAGAAAGCATTAACTACTTCAGGAAGCTTTTTGGTAGCCAGTTACATGAATAATGATGTTTCTAATAAGTCTATTTACATATAAACTGAACATTTAATAACACTTACAATATGCATTTTGTTTAAAAATTTAGTGAAATTGCTCCAATAATGGTCACATAGGAATGCAGAAATTAATGAACTCATATAGCATTATATTTATCTGAACTTCTTTATTTGAGCTTTCCTCTTCAGAAGGCAAACATCATTTTAGAATTCTTGATGAGCAATTACTTTTTTAAAGCTGGAAAAACTTGAAACTTTTTCTTAAAAAAAGTTGATTTTAGTAAGGTGTTTGTATCTGAACTTTTTTTATCAGTTGGTATGATTACAAAACTGATTTACTAAAGGATTATTCAGGTCCACGTAAGACTACATAGCACTACATCAGTTTATTAACTTTCCTGTCACATGTAATCAAATGCCAGCAGTGCTTTTTGTAAGGCAAAGAGTAATATCCTTTTCATTTCACTGTTTTTTTTCAGGGCTATCTTCCTGCAAATGTGGACCGAAGAGAAAGCACTTTAAAAAGAAAACGCAAAGAGTATTTTGCATTTGTTGAACAATACTATGATTCCAGAAATGATGAAAATCACCAAGATACCTATAGACAGGTAGAACACCTATTGAAGTGACTTTTACTTACAGTACATCTGCTAAAGAACTTAAGGAGATTATTTTTTAAGTTTACTACTTTTTTTCTCTATTTCTTTAATCTTGATAGACAGCTCTCTAATCAATTGTTTTCCTGCCTTTCAGAAGCAAAAATATGAAATATTATGGTCTGAAATTCCAAATAGTGGGTTTCTTTTAATGTCAGCTTTAGTCATACCATGTGGCGCTGCCATTCAGAGCTGCCATGGTTTTCTGTTTAAGAGTAGTATGGTTTTCAAGTCTTTCATCTCCTCCTTCAAATAAGTGAAGATGTACAGGGAAGGTCTAACGACTGTTTCTTACTGGCTCCATACTTCTGCTTCAGAAGTTGAAACTGTATATGATGTGCAGTAAACATGGGTGCGTCAAACTTCCTTGCCCACCCAGATAAGCAGATAACTTCAAGTTTTGTATTAAAATGAATAGATTGCATCACTAAGTATAGACTTAAACAATCCTACTTTAACCTTCCTTAGGACAGAAGCAGCTGAGATCTTTTTCAGCTTCAAGCCTACTCTTTAGTAGCAAGAAGTATATAGGATAATGTCTGTTGAGCATGACTTCACAGAAGTAGCAGTATGTATTTATGCATAATTACCCCGAGGTAATGAATATTGCCAATATGACTATAATTTGCAAACAATCAAAATACAAGGATCCTAAAATGTGGAAACAAAGTTTGTGTGTGTATATATATATATATAAAAATTTTGCCTCATTGATAGATTAGCAATGACTTAAAGATTTAGCCGTATGTTTTGAAATAGAGTAAATCCATGTTATTCCAAAAACAGTGATACAGTGGGATTATAATTAATACTGTAAAACCATAGGATTGTTTTAAGTATTGTGGTGTTTAAAAACTGTTCTGTTGGTTCCTTTTACAGTATTCTTCTTTCTGTCTAATTAGATCCATATAGATATCCCACGCATGAGTCCTGAAGTGTTAAGACTTCAGCCCAAAGTAACAGAGGTAAGAATGATATCCAAAGAATTTTTTTTAAAAATCATTTTATTAATGAATCTGATATCACAGCATTGGTTGTTAATTAATTTGAAAACACGGGCCATTTTGACTTCAGAACTAGCTTCAAAAAGTCCAAAAAATGAGGATATATGTAAGTATAAGCTAAGAATAACAGTGTAAATATGAGTAGTAAAAGAAAAGGCATCTCATTAATCTCCTGCATCAAATCTGTCAGTTTTTTTTCTTTGGTCTTGTGCCTTTGAGGGTTTATTTTTGCTTTTTATATATTTTGTTCATAATGTATTTTTGAAGTAATCCAGAGCATAGTTCCCATGGTTCTATGTATTTGTCAAAATCATTCAAGGTCTGGAAGTTCTTACTGTAGTCTTCCACTTGGGAAATTCTCTTTTTGTGAATTTGTAGCATGACTGGTTCGTGTTCCGTATTTGATTTTGCTTCTTTAAGTTTTGTATGTTAAGTACACTATTTAAATTTACTGCTGTAGTAGGTATACATCAATTAATGATAAATGTTAATCAAATTGGTCTATATTGTTGGGTAATTGAATCCTATAGGGACTTTTCTTTGTAAAGTATGAGTCATAAATAGTATAGATGGTGTGAATCATGCTCTTTTGATTATTTCTTTTAATCCTTCTATTTCTTCTCCTTTCTAATGGTTCTAGTTAGACCTTCAAATGTACTGCCATGTAGGTTCTGTTAATATAAGTATAGATAGAACATCTTCTGATAGTTCATAAGATGATAGGAGAAGTCAAATACAGAACTAGCTTTCATTTGTTTTTTTGCTCTTGCAATTATTTGTTTAATGTAAATGCTCCTCCGTATGTGTTAGAGAAATTGGTTTGAAGAAATAGCCTGCTATAGTTTTTTGAAAGAAAATGGTATACTACTACTTTCTGCCTGCTTTTTGCACAGTGGTGTTTTACTTGAGCTTTTCTAGGGATGAATCAAAGAGTAAAGTAAGAAAAATAAAGGGACAAGAAGGGAAACAATATCAGCAAGAAATAAACTACTAAAGAGTAGTTCATAAGATCAGTATCTGTGTTGTAGCCAGACTTGAGCCAGTAAATGAAATTGGTGGTGCATATTATTTCATGAAAATATGGCTACGAAAGGAAGAACACTCAAATACTTCTAAAAGGAAAGACATACTTGAACCGTATCATCCATAGTCTCTTAAATTATTCTAACGATGGATTTGCATTCAACATAAAATGTGTTTTTTGGGGTGGGGTTTTTTTTACTTCTTTGCATTGCATGATTAAACTCTTCTTAAGGTTTCGATGAAGATCATCTGAATATGTGGTTCTGATGTACAATGACTGTGGTTTTGTAGTTCTTAGTTTGGGTGAACAAACCCTGAAATGATGTTGGTTTTTTACCCTGGTATTTTAGTGAAGGAGAAATTAGAAGCTGTTTAACCTGTCTGGTGTAAGAATCTATGTATATCCTTGCTTTTAAAGGAAGATTTCAAAGTACAAAACATTTTTTCAAAATTAGTGCTAGATGGTGTATTCATGTCTCAATTAGCTGAACAATTGTAAAAACAACTTTAAAATAGAAATTCCAGGTAAACATCTTCTGTAGAATATATTGAATGTTCTTTCTTTTAACTAAATTATTTGGATGAGAAGTCAAGTAGTTTAATAAAAATGATACTGAGACAGTCTTTGGAGAATATTTTAAAGTGTTTTTTAGAAAAATGATGAGATTGTCAGAAGTAGAAACCTGTAGGATCTTGGACTACTTTTGTCTTTTGTTTCTTTGATCATGCATGAGACAAGATATATTTATGACTGCTCTTAAGAGAAGGTTAATAGGTTTCTTTAGACTAGATGCAAACTTGATGATAATAGGAACGCAGCTTTGTATTTACAATGGATACCTGCTTTTTCTGTAATACAGTTAAAAATATTAGAATAACTTGTATTGATAATTAAAGAAGAGATGGTCAAGGTTTTCCAACATTTGAAATGTACATTTTTGTTAAATATTTAGTGTATTGGGGAAAGCATCCTATAATAAGACATTGAAAAGAATTAGAGTTACAGGATTGTTACAAGCCCTTTTTGGTTGAATGATTAACTTAGAGCTAAAGAGTTTATTTGGGAATTTGGAGAGTATGTTAATGTGAAAAAGATATTAATGCGGTGTTTTTTACAAGCAGTCACACTTGAAAGGAGATTTTGTTTTTAATAGCTGAATTATAATTAGTCTGAAAATAGGCTGGTTTAATGAAAATGCGAACAGTCAACTTCAGAACTAGTAGATGCTTCCAGAATAAAACACTTATTATTGCTTGTGAGTAATTAAAATAAAACAAAATAGTGTGTCTAGGTAACATCTTGCTAAGTAAAATCTGATATGTCAATAGAATTTCAGTAGCAAATATTACTCAGTAAAGTTTGAGTCTGGAATGCAATTTCAGTTAATTTTGTGGGGTCATTAAACATATTTAGGTATTTTTCCCTTTTAGTTGTCTTTTGGCAGATAACATTGCTCAGGTAGCATATTCATTTAATGTGGTTTACTGAGATCTCATTTGAAATATTTTTTTCATAAAATCAGCATTGTTTTAATTTCTAGTTATTTGTTAAACTTGTCCAAAGGTATGTTTTTGTAATGCTTCAGTGCATATGTGCATCTTAAACACTACCTTAAAATAAAAATACTTTAAATCCACACTTTTGAGAAACTATGGTTGCTCTTGCAAGTAACATAATTACTCCTTAATTTAGTCTGTTACATACAGCTCAAGATCCCTGCCTGCTGGTCATACTTACATTTCTTTAGTTTGAATGTTTAGTAAATCGAGCCATGTAACAAGCATAATTGAGCCACATAAAATAGATGGACTTACCTCTCATTAATGTGATCAAGGCATTGTACAGCTAGATTGCTGCTGCTTTCTTGTTAAAAAAAACCCAACCAAACAACACAACAGTTCCTTCCCCCACCCCCCCAAAAAAAAATATCCCTGTCCATACTTTATCCATCTATCTAAAAAAAAAAAAAAAAAGTGAAAAAAGTGTAAAACAAAGATGTATTTTAATAATATTCTGTTAGTCAGGAGTGAGTGGCCTTGAGGTACAGAAGAATAAGAATGTGAAAAGGATGGGTAGCGAAAAGGGTGGATAGCAGCAGTCAGTGGGATAAGGGGAAATATGGGAAGTATTTGAGTTATAAAAAAGTGATAGAGATCTGAGGTAATTTTTACTGATCCATCAGTATCCTGAACTTGACAGAGTTGTGGGATCTTCATGTGTTAATTGTTTTTAGACCTCCACTGATGTCCTGACTAGATGTGTGGGCTTGCATATGTCTTGGCCTTTGTTTTCTGTCTGATCCAAGAGAGCCAAGCCCAACTTACTTGATGTCATCTTACAAAGACTAGTGCAAATGATGCTGGAAGGGTCACAATATCCAACATCTCCCTTATTTCTTCCTCTCCCCTTCTGAGTTTTTGTAGCCCTACACTAGCACAGCCTAATCCCTTATCCTCACAGGGATCCCTCCCTACTCCCAGGGGCTCAGTGCCTTGTTCCCAGTGCTGACTCCCCGCTAGGGAGCGGGAAGATGTTGCTAGGCCCAGGTGAACAATGGTCACTTCCTCTGTCTTAAGATGAGATAGCAACAGCTGTGAAGAGGGGAAGGGAATCAGAGGATTTCAAAAGGTAGCATAGTGTGCAAGACTGATGTTGTGGATATTATGATGTTTTTTTGTACACATTAATTTTTGCTGCTGCAGAGATTTAGAGTAATGATACTGCTACTAGGAAGAATGTTACTTACAATGAGGCGAAGAGATTGTAGGTGACAGAGCTGAAAGAAATTGCTAATCAAAAGACCAGAAACATAAGACGTGTATATACCTCAAAATGTCTTCTGACTTCAATTTCCAAATGTTACTGTTCCAGGATTTTTGTTTTTCTTGGTGGTATCTGAGTCTATTCCCAAAGGGCTTTTTGTTACAGTTGTTAAAACTGATTTAATTTCTTATCTGAACTTGGAACTTGGTTTCTGTAAAAAGATGCTTCATTTTAGAAAAAAAGTGTTTTGAGTCTGGTCTGTGAAAATAACTCATTAGTATATGTTCTTTTTAAAATTGGTTTAAAATGTTTATTTTTAATGGGAGTTACGTAGATCTGGGGAGGGGGAAGGTAATGTTGGAGCAAAGACTTAAAGTACTGGGCATAAACAAATAGTGGCCCTCAAAGAGGAGGAGAGAGAAGTTGGAGTCAAGTTTATTTTAAAGACTAATGACTGTAAGTGTAGATTTAATAAATATGGTTAGTTGAAGTGTAGTAGTCTGTAATTTAGTATCAATTTCTGCTTTAACTGAGTTTTGTTGAAATGGATAGTACATGACTGTGTATTTGCTGTGTAAGCTTGCAATTATATGGGAGAAGTAATTTCAAGGAAACAACACAATTTAAGAATAGTTTATAAATTTTTCCCAATCTATCTTTTTTCCTACTTGGATAAGCAAACAGCAAATTCTGGAAAGCTTTCATGATTAAAGCTTTGTAGGTTTTGGAGTTCCTCTGAGGTGGCAAAACCCACAAAAAATTAGAAATCTGCATTTAAGCTAATGAATTCTTCTCTTTATGTGTATGGATATAGTTCTTACTGTTATCATGAATGAAAGTTAAATTCAAAGGAGAATAATTGATCAGTAATGACATCTCATGAGATGTAGTGGTTCATAGTAGAAAAGTAATTCCCATTTCTGTTGCTGGTTTGGAAATCAAGAAGAAAACCTTTTGGGAAAGTGACCTTTTTAATGACTCCTATTTGAGCACAGTGATGAGTGCTGTATAGAAACTTAAATCAATCTGCCTTTCAGGTATTCAGTGCTCATTTTTTTCAATTCAGAACAGTAAATGAAACTTTATGAAAATGGGTAGGAAATTGAAAACACTATTTCAGTGTGTATATGTTGAATTTCTGATTAGATGCGTTTGGGCATATTAAATCTGGTGTGCCAATCGCTAAGTGATCTTTCCTGCTCAATAATATAAAAAAAAAACCCCAAACAAACTCAAACAAAAAATCCCAACCACAACCCCGCCCTACATCTTAGTTTTCATAGCTGGATTTTAAAAATGCTTTGAAATCAATCCATAGGCATCTCAGTTTGCAATGCAAACTATGTATATTATCAGGTTCTGAGGAAAGGAAAGGTGGGTGGTACAGTTTTTCGGGTTATTTGACTTGAGATGTGCCTTCATGAAAAGCACTGTTTTTATAGTTTTTACAGTGGGTATTTTGATAGCTGTTACTTACTGAATTACTGATTTTGTGTGTGTGTGTTTCTCACTGCGTGTATTTTCTAACCCCATCACACCAGTTTTTGTTTAGCATAGTGCATAACATTGTTCTACATTCAGCAGTTGCTATTTAAATAGATTTTTGTAGTCATCTCTGATAGTTGCTTTCAATAAAGTTTTTCTATTTGCAGTATGTTAAACGTCCTTTATTTGAAGTGAAACACAGAATGATAACACTGATAAAAAAACTAATGTTGCTGAAACTAGAAGTGGCAACTGACAGAAGGAGGAAGGATGGCAGTGAGCTAACTAATCTAGATAGATTTGCAGTTTTCCAGTAATAGTAAAAATATGACAAACAACTGTAATTTCTTAAAGGTATAATTATGGAAAATGTAAAAGCAAGCTGTAACTGGCAGAACTTAAGGTCTTTATACAGTTGTTGATAATCAATGAAACCCCACTGGCTATTGCTTTGATGGGCAGAGGTTGGTGTTTTTTCAGTTCAATATGCAGTGCATGTTAAAAAACATGAGGTGACAGGACTAGAACCAAGAATAATTTATAGCTAATGGATAAGAATCTTGACTAATGAAAACAAGAGGCTTTTATGGAGAACTTGCTAAAGGAATGCTTCCCTTTCTACCTAATCTTTGCACCAAAGCTGAAATCACACTGAGCAAAAATGGAGTATTAATTGTAGCTGTAATGGATCAGGCATGAGCTGCATTAAGGCTTGTCTTTCAGTGCCCACCAAAGCTTTTCATACTTATTGTTGTTAACAGTTTCCCTTGTTCTGTGGATTTTCAGTATGCCAAGGAAACATAAAACCTGGAGATTAAGGAAACTTGATTCTCAAAAGAAAGCCTGAGGAAGAAGAGTAGATGTTGTTATTTGGGACTTGTTTTCAAAGCAAAAGGTGCAAATGTGTTTCAGCTTCAGGTAGCTCATGTGGAAGCCTGAGATGGGACTCTCAAGCACCCAGATGCGAGTCATATATGCCTAGACTTTTCCTTACTTGACAATAACTGAAAGAGGGCTTTTAAACTGAAGAGTAAGATTTTATTTAAAATGTAATTAGAATAGTGGACTTATTAATCTAGCAAAAACTTGAAGTGAAATTGAATAGAAATGATAAAGACTTCATAAACTAAACTTCCTCTTCCTCTTGTGTTCTTTCAGGGCAGGCCTTTTACGGGCTTTCTTGAAGCTTGAGCATTCATTGACTTCTGGGGTTGTGGCAAACCACGTGATTTCCTTGGAATCCTTACAAAATCTCTCCTTTTTTATTAGCCTTGAGGCCTGATCTTAAGAGCAGTGTAGTCCTTCGGTTGGAGCTCTCCTTTCTCTGCTCCACTTACCTACCTCTGCATTCTGGCTTCTTGGGCAGCCCTTCCAGGGAAGGAGCAAACATTCTTTTGCTTCGGAAGATTATACCTGATTGAGTACCTGTAATTAGGGCAAAGCGCATTGCAGCTTTCACTTTGCTGCTTGTTTGCAGCATTTTAAAGACATGTAGCATGTTCAGAAGCAAATAATTGAGAGGAAATACAGCTTGTCACAGACCTAAATTGTGTCAGAGATAATTTCTGTGATTGCCCTGCTGTGTACTCTTCTTGTGCTGTCCTTCCCATGATCAGATATGTAGTGGCCTTAGGAACTTTTGCAGATTCTCAGCAAGGTGCAGTTTACAGAGTTGAGGGGGTGAGGTTATGTGATATGGCAGGCAGTTGCCTTATTTCTACACTTCCGGATTTTTTATTAACCAGTATACATGCTTCTGAAGTCTAAAACCCCATGCTGCAGTATTAGGCAAGCTTAACTATTACGAATCTTTTTATGGGCATGTAATAAAAAAAAATAAAAATCTAAGATATATGAAGTACTTCTTTCTGTTATTTAGGAATAAGTTGAATACAATATTGATAAAATACTTCTTTCATAGAGATGAAAAATCAAGGGAAGATGACTTAATATTTCTGTCTCTTGAGGAAAGAGGAATTTTATGTTATTGGAAAAGCTCCAGTGAATAAGTACCACTTTGTTGTAACTACTGTACCTGAATTATATAATAGGTTGATTTTAACATGTGCTAATACCTTGAAAACGCTTCCTTTTGAAGAACTGAGAAGCTTACTTAGCACTGGAAGTTAATTATGAATGCCAGTGTTCATTTATTATTGTGTATGCATGTTTTTATACTAGTAACTCTGTGATATAAAGTTTGTCCTTGTATAACTTTCAAGTGTCTTGTTTAAATAAAATGTGCTTATCACTCAATAAATTATCTGATAGTTTCTTTAACTGTTTTTCAGATCTTTGAACGAATTTTGTTTATCTGGGCAATACGTCATCCAGCCAGTGGATATGTCCAGGGCATAAATGATCTTGTTACTCCTTTTTTTGTAGTCTTCATTTGTGAATATATAGGTAAGATTTGTCTTAATACTGAATTATGAATTGGTACTGGTTTTGGAACAGCATCTTCATTTTAATCTGAATAATGATTTGGATTAGATAATCAAAGCATAATTGGATACATGAATTTTATCATAAATTTTTGTAATTGTAAATCTGTATAGTTCTCTTTAAATGTATACTGAGAAGCAATCAGACTTTGTGTAAGTAGTCAGTGAAGTTGAGGAATCTTTCAGGTTTTTATTCCAATCAAACTCCCCCCCCCCCCCAAAAAAAAAAAAACCCAAAAAACCCTCATCCAAACCAACCCCTCTGCAGAAAGTTGCAGACAGCATTCTTGTTTGTCAGATCTGAAAGGAGGAGAAAGCAGCACAATGTAGCATTTGCTTTCATCTTGATTTCTAGTTAAGAAGTGTTCACCACTCCTGATGCTTTTTTATTCATAGCTTGCTTTCTTTCTTTCTTTAATTCACATTTTTTATGAAAACTTTAAATTGTACCTATGAAATGAGCAATGTACATATGAAAAAAACCCAAACCCAAATCAGATGACAACAACAAAAAAAGCCCCACACCAAAACAAGAAAAAAACCTCCATGAAACACGGAAACCTTTTAAATGAGTGGAAGGGAAATTAAAGTAGGGGGAACCTATTAAACTGAATCTGTGGCTGAAAGAATGGCAGCAAGGAATTAGGATCTGAAAATTAAGGCAGCAATAATCAAATTCCTCTAGTTAAGAACTCTACTCTTCTGGGCCTCACAGTGCTTGTAACAGTAGTAGCATAAACAGCTGTATTTCTCTTGAGTTTGTGGCGTTATATATCAGTATACTTTTTGAAAACTGTTTAAATTGGCAAACTCTGATATTGCTTAAATGCTCATCTCTTAATAGAACATCGTTCATATCTTAAATTTATAGATTAATGTTTAAGTCTTTATAAACATTGAGTATGGCTAATTATTAATAATTCATTAATTTGGATATAACTATGGATATAAAAGGTAAGGTTAAATAGTAAAAATGACAATGTTGATCTGGCTTGAATTAAAACTGTTTTCCTTGTATTTCAATTTGTCATACACACATACAATGAAAATACACAATGCTTATATGTAAATTTGAGCAACACGGCTGTCTGGCTACTTCAGTGGATTCTTCCTACCATCTTTATGCAAGATACCCATTGGTGTCTTAATCCAGATAGATTAGATTTAATGAAGGACAGATTATCCTTGAGTAGATGATAGACTATCCCTTGACTTATTTGCATGGCAACACCTCTGTTGCTTTGTTTGTTTCTTGTTTCATAGGGGGACATTTCATTGCTAAGCAACTAATGAGAACTACTGCTGCTTTCTCCCTAATCATCTCTTAAGTAGGGTAGAGGTTTACTCCTGAGAGTACTTTCAGTTTCTGCCTTTTACTCCCTCATTTGACAGATAATGAAAATGTTCTTAATGATCTTAGAACAGTGGGGTCTCCAGTAGTCTTCAGGATTGTTAATTGCAATAGGAAGTTCAAATGAGATGTGATTAGAGCACTGATATTCCATGTTAAATAGACCGTTTAATTAATATGGTAAATAAGTTTGTCTTTACCACCAACTTACAGTTGGCGACCCAGGTGATTGTTAATGTATTTTGCCAGTTTGTCAGTATTTCCGTTTTGGAGAGTATAGCTATTCCAGTAGGTGTCCAGTGAAGAAAGACAAAACTCAAAAACTAACAACTGTAAAATATATTTTGCCACTGAAAATGTATGAAACTCAGAAAACTGTATTCTAAAATCTCATTTAAAAGCTAATATCTGTATAGTAAGAAAAATATTGAAATGGAGGTATAGTAGTGGTCCTGGCTAAGTGCTAACAGCAGTTATTTCCCCTAGTGACATATAAAAACTTTGTAAGATTTGTCTTTAAATGGCTTTTTGATTTGAGTCTTTCTAATATATTCAAGTTATACTGAGTGGTGCATTCATGTTAGAATGAATGAGTGTGCATTTTTCTTAAACTTTATGTCCCAATTTCAAGTTTATGAAGTATCTCAAAAATCCCGAGGTTTGTAATAAAATTATGGAAGGATTCAAAACTCAGACTATGAATTGTACTTTAATAATTTAGATAGAAATAAATGCAGAATTGCAAAAGTTTCCTAACAAAAATGTTTAAGCTATTAGTGTATTTAATATTTAGTCTATTGACACTCTGTATTCACAGATTCACAGGTTGGTAAGGGGTTGGAAGGGACCTCTAGAAATCATCTAGTCCAACTAGATCTAGATGATCTGCTAGAGCATGATGACCTAGAGCAGGTTGCACAGGGTTGCGTCCTGGCAGGTTTTGAGTATCTCCAGAGGAGGAGACTCCACAACCTTTCTGGGCAGCCTGTTCCAGTGCTCGGTCACCCTGAAAGTGAAGAAGTTTTTTCTTGTGTTGAGCTGGAACTTCCTGTGTTCCAGTTTGTGCCCGTTGCCCCTTGTCCTGTTGCTGGGCACCATTGAAAAAGTCTGGCCCCGTTGTCTAGACATCTACCCTTTAGCTATTTATAAGCATTAATAAATCAATCTTTTCTTCTCCAGGCTAAACCTTAGGTTTTGTTGGGTTTTTTTTTTTTTTTTACTCTAGACTTTATGATTTGTAGTTCTGATTTTAAGTGAATGTTAGGTTGTACCTTAAATTGCTCTATTTATTGCTTTTTTAACTATTGATTTTTGTATTTTTCTCAATACCTGAGAAACCTTTGTGTAGCAGTTCTGAGTCACTTGGATCCTGATTCATGCCATTGAAAGTGATAAAGCCTTTTCTTTTAGATTCTTTCCATAATTAAAAAAGAGCTCCTAAAGGATTATTAAAGATTAATAATAAATTATTGACAATGCCATTGATAGTAAATCTGTTATGATTAGATCATCTGATAGTATATCCTGATAACTTTTACACAGAGTTGCAGTTTTGTCAAATATTTTGGTGGGAGGAAAGGCATGTTTATTTTAGCTTTATGCAACTGAGAGTGCCTTAATCCTTAATCTTGCATAACAAGTGTGTTTTAATCTAGTGATGGGAATCTTTCTGCCCTACTGAAGACATCCAAAAAACATTTGGAAAAGTGTTGTTAAAGAACTTTTGAAGATACAAATGATATGTATGGAAGTGATAATTTCCTTGCCTAGTAACATTTTTTTCATTCCAATCTGAATGCCAAAAAAAAAAAAAATTTTCTGGGTCTTTGTATAAGGACCAAAATAATAGATATTTTGATGTTTAGTACAGGTTGAGGTATCTAATTTTAGCACATAGGTTCACATGTTTGGAATAGGTTGAGTAACAATGTAGGAATTGAATACGTTAAATGTTGAGAGCATTCTTCCAGCCTTGCCAGCAGTGTAAGTATGATGAAAGTGTAATTTGGTAATGTCTCATTAGTTCCCCACTCTGCAATAAAAGCAGAATACTCTAACATTTACAGTGAAATAAAACTTGGTTGTCAAACCAAGCCAGGAGATGCATAACTGCAATTGAAGAAAATTTCAGAGGGGGTAGGTACTGGCCCCTGCTGGAATACAGTAGATTCAGATTAGGATTTCTGGTCTGAGTTAGGAGAAGGAGGAATTGAAACCTTAGGTTTCTCATACCAGGTGATTGTGTATGTCAATCTCGACATTACACCCCCCCACCCCCCCGAAAAATGCCACAGATCTGTGAGTTTATTCTGCCATAATATAACCGCTTCTTTGGAATTTCAAACACCAGTGGTACGGGAAACCTATTTTGTGCTTATTTCTAAGCTCCTACGTGACGTAACAGTGTTACATGTTGTCAGAACAAATGCTAATTACTGTCAGGACAGTTTTCCTGGAAGTTCTGTGTCTTTGTAGCATATTAGTGTCAAAATGAATCTCATCCATGTGGATGCAATGCCAGAGGTGTTTTTGTTATGAGATAAGATATACCATGTGACTGCTCACTGTTGGGTGACTTAATGTGAACAAGGGCATTTTGCACTAGATTGCAAGTCCTGTTTCAAGTTGCCACACATGTTGCTCTCTTTGTACACCTTCCTGTTGCTCCCAGTCCCTGTTGTTCTACGTTGTTTCCGAGTGCTAAGTTGTGCTGCGCAGTTGCTTGTGTCTTGCTGATGGAGTCAGCTATACTTCACTACATCTGCATTTAGGTAATTGTCTGGGCCTTGTGTGTATACCTGGAACCACAGACAGGACCTGGATTTATTCACCATCCAGAGAGATGAATGTTCTAGCGAATTACCATCATAATAAGGATGCATGTCAGCCCACTGCTAAGTGGAATGGCTGTGTGAAATCACTTTGAGATCCCTAGCAATGTTGAATCAAGAGAAAATTGGGAGTTAGTAGGAAGTCAAGTGCAGAAAATGAACGTTACCATAGCACTTTTATGTTGGATAAAGAATGTCAAGAAAAATGAGCTGCTGATGACTGGAATGGCGTTTGAGATATTGTCTGCAATCTTCTTGCAATAGAGGAGCTTGAGACAATTTGAGGATGCTTACAAGAACTCATGAACTGAAAGCTTTGGAAAGAGAGGTCTTACACTTGTAAGTATTTTTCTTATGATCTTAAATCCTTTTGTAGAAGGCATTAAATGCAACTTCTTTTGCCTAGTGTTTCTTAAATTGATACTGCCATAACTTTATGGAATAATTAACCCAGGCCCAAATCCTAATGGGATTGGGATGGGATTTAGTCCCAGACCACTGTTACTGTGAGAATATAAAAGTTCTCTGATCCTGGAAAAGCCATCATCTACCTATAGCTCCCTTTTTTTTTTTTTTCCCATTCCCTCTCATGTCACAGGAAGCGTTCCTGTCCTTAAAGTGATATTTCATACTGGTTATTGCCTCCTTTCCTTCCTTTTCAGCATATCTGTTGTGACTAATTAAAGTTAAAATTATTAATTTTGGTTTTTTCCATATTTGAGTGCTGTATCTAAAATTATTGTTTTCGTAGTATAATTGGAGTAATATTTCAGGGCATTG